TGAGATGTAGTTTATATATAACTTAATTACAGTAGCTTCTTCCTTCCACTCATCCCAATTTTGTTGAGAGTTGTAGAAACAACAGATTACGGGGTTGTCACTGCCCAGATTGCTCAGGAAGCCATTTGACAAGACAATAAAGGACAGATGGTAGTGTTATGATCCCAGTTCCCACCTATACAGCCACTGTATGGATACAGCCTAGACAGTTTCAGTATAAATCAGCGTTTCAGTCCCTAATGTCTTTCAAAAAACTCATTTCAAATTATTATCCCCAGGACAAACCAGGACTCCTTGGCAAACCCAAGAATTCAGCCTATATTCTTTCCTCTAAACTCAGTTATTTCCTCCAAGGGTGATTTTATTCTTCTCCACTCACTATGTCCTGCAAGTCCTTAGCAGGGTTCTGAGGAAGAATATGAAAGAAAGAAAGAAAGTAAAGGACAGCCAGAAGATTTGCTGTACCAGAACAACACACACAACTTTCTCAGATGCACCACATGTTCATCTCAGGTTGCATGAATGGCTGCCGTGGTGACACCCTTATTAAACGCTGAACCTCATAACATGCAAACTTTGGAATAAGTTAAATGCATTGAAGTGAGGGTAGTGCTATGCATGTCCCAGTGTTCCTGACACTGAGAATTCCGCTGTGCCCCATGCACCAAATACGCGTATCTGCCACCCCAAAGCTAGCATTAGAATCTCTGTCCCAAGGCAGCACAGATACATTCAGCAGTATGGATGGTGGACATCAACTGAAGTTGAAACCAGCAAGAAAAAGATACACTGAAATCAATAGAGAAGAATCAGACTTACCCAAGTCACCACGAAGTCCAGGGAAGTGTTTGGAAGACCTATGAGAGAGAAGAGCTTTTATATTGGAGCAGCTGGAGGGACAAGATCAACATTGGTTGCCCGCCCCAATTTCAAACACGTGTAACCCATCAAGATGATGAAATTGTGTTCATTATTGGAGCTTATGAGTCCTTTCAAATTTGTTTGTAATAGGACCTAAACATTACTTTAGATTATAGAGAATTCTTTCATCTTGTGACTTGTGGGGAAAAATTAATACCTGGTTTTATTCCAGTCACTTCCTTGAAATTACAACAGAAACTATTAAGCTAGTTCCACTTGTATTAACTTAACACCGGGACAGCGTCTCATGGGTTTATCAGAATTACAAACTGCTGTTGTTGACAGGATTTTTGTTTAAGTACATATAATTCACATTACAACCTACCAGGACAGAAGTTAAAGACTGTCAGTGTGATACGCAGGAAGGCTGGGGGTGGTTTCTGCATGTTCAGCTTCCGCACTCGCAGGCTGGGGAGGCAGCGAGTCGATGGTGTTTTTCAGTAGTATTTGACACTGCCTGTAATAGGACAATTCAGCTCCGAAGAGCAGCAGCAACCCCAGGGACCTGCAACATGTCCTTCATTCTCTAAATAAGGCTTATGTGGAAACGGAAATCTAGCTTTGAGCAGAAAAAATGTGAAATCCTTAGTTTTGGAGCACTGGGAACTCTTTTCATGAAGATATGAGCTGAATAATTTTCTCCATCCATCAGTCACTTAAACAGTTGTACTCTCTTACAAAAATGTGTGGGGATAAGTCTGCACAACTTGACATAGGAGATGGAGAGGAAGCCTTTATCTTCCTGTGGCTTGTTTGTGTTTTTTAAGAGATAAACATTGAATGCATTTCAGAAGTTAACTAAAGCCACAGAGGGATTGGAGATCCCAAAGAGAATTTTTCCAGGTATTATTGGTTTGATGTTGTCGGTGCAAAGATGGTACTTGAGAATATGCAATAGGCCTGAGGAAACCTAATCTTTTTCAGTACAAACGGATACTCTGGTGCAAAAATTGAAATGTGACAGAAATGCTTTGGATTATTGACTTTGGTTCTCAGGAATTCATGACCTCCTGTAACACACTATTGTTGCTGCAAGCCATAAATCCAGAACAGGCCTGAGCTGGCAGTTTCTGCAAGCAGGGAACAATTATGAACTTGGAATGCACCATGCAAAACAAAGGCTGGTTCTTCCCTTGTTTACAGATGTGTTATTTTAATCCTGAAGACTCTATGCCATAAATTATCTCTAAATTATGAGGTGGATTTCTCAGCCTTTGAGGTGGTTAGATATTTTTTTGGATGATAGTATTTCCAAGCTTCCAGGGAGCAAGTCTTTTCAAATGCTGCAAAATGTCCACTAATGGGTTGAGAATGCATTCTTGAAATTAGATTAAAGGCATGTACCTGGATTTAGGTGCCTAGCAATTATGGAATGACATCACATTAAAATACTTAAGTCAAGGTATTTGTGTCCTTGGTATAATCAGTTCATGGCTGAATACTGGAGATTTGTGCATCTTCAAGTTTTTTCAATATAGAAGTATAGAATGAAATATAAACTCTTAAATAAAATGCAGCATTTCATAAGCTGTATAATCAGTGTATCTTTATCATTTTCAGTTGCACCATAGAAACAGAGGATTTAATTATTTTCTCAAGATGTTACAATTCTATCAATGATCAGCCTTTATCCATGTAAATGACTTCTCTGTCTCTGTCGTGGCGTATCTCCAGACTGCTTTAGCAAGTTGCCACCAGTCATGTTTCATTTAATTTCATTTCTCAGTAGTCTTCAATATTGCCTGATCTGAAGGTGGACCTAAAAATGGATCCCTGAAGGCTTTGTATAGGGAGACAGAAAACTGGAAAATGCGGGTGACAAATGCTTCACAAAGAAAGTGCCTTGCAATCTTGAGAACAGAAAAGGTAAGTATTAGTTTGCCTCTAGACTCCAACCTGGGTTGAAAAACAGTGAGAGAGACCTGCTAGAAAAATATTAGTATTTTAAAAGGATGTTTTATCTCTGCCCTCTGCTTTAAATCTCATTGGTCGTCTTCCATGGTTGTAGAAAGATGGTCCGAAGGACTTGCCAGTGTTTGAGAAAAGGACAGGGAGAGTAATCCACGGCTGAATGCACCAGAAAGAAAGCAAGAGGTATTTCCCCAAGTCCCTTGTTCATTAGATGAGGCCAGCATTATGTTCAGGAGCAAAAGCCAAAAAACCAGAAAACCATTTAAGGACCACAGGACGTTTTCTATAGCTTCCTTTGGGTGCAGTATTGGTCTCACGTTAAGTAGCTGAGAAGGCAAATGATAAAGATAAAAATGATGACCCCAAAACTGCTGTAATGAACTCCATTTTATCTTACAGCCTGGATTTAATGGAAAAATCTGTGCACATCAGGTGACCACAGCCACACAGAGAGCAGCTGGGTTTTGCCATTAATAATGGAGAAGCTGAGGAAGAGCATTAGTATAATTCTTGCTGTAACGCCAAGGATGTGAATGGAATGATAACAGGAAAGAATATGACATGTAACCATTTGAGATGAAAGAGGCCTCTGTGATGAAATGCACCTATCATATTTCATGAGACTTCGAACCAACAAATAAATAGTCAGCAAAACTTTGAGGACCTAAGTGTCATATTAGTTTTGGGTTTGCCCCAATTATGCACATGCACAAATTGCACCTTAAGTGATCCCCATGATCTAGGGAACTGTATAAAAGCTCTCCCAACTCAGGGCTCATCATTCCACCTGGCTTGCTTTATTCACCTCCGTGAAAAGGGTAAGTATCATTCTACGTGATCTCTTTCTTAAAATTCGAGTATCTCTCTTCTGCCAGTTTTAAATAAGGTCGGAATCATCTGTAAGTATTCTAAGATACTTAATATTGTTGGCTTATTTTGCCATGAATTTATTTTTCTTATTTGGTGTTGGACATCCCATGTATTTGGGTTTAAAATGGTAAAACTAGGTTTTTCAAAAATTATTGTTCCCTGTTAATATGAACTTGAGCTATCAAAGCAGCTTTCAAAACAACAGTAGAAGACTTGTTAATCACTAGGAATTTTTTAAGGATTTTGCATGCAAGTTTTTGATATGTGTCTATGTATATGTATGTATTTGTTGAGGAAACAAGCTTAACTAAAAAGAATATAGAAGTATTGTCTAAAGAAATATTGGAAAATAGAGATGAAACTAGGAAATCCTAATCTGCCCTTTACATCGTCCTTGCTTTGAGCAGGGAGTTGGACGAGATGACCTCCAGAAGTCTCTTCTAATCTAGTATTTTTTTGGTTCTAGTGGGGGAAAAAATTGTTTACAGGTGGTACCGATTCCTTGTCCTTCCATGGGCTTTCTTTTAGGTTGGATCAGATCTTATAGTGACAACCTTTCTGAAGAGCTCAGATCCCAGCATACCTATCTGCAGTAGAAATCTAGCCCTAGTTACCTGAGTGTACCAGTTTCCCATCTGGGAAATCAGACAAATAATCTTTTCACCCACCCTGTGACTCTCAAGCTACTTTGCAAGCACTTCAGGGCAGGGAATGCCTTATATAATCCATGCTTATAACAGGTTCAGGAAACCAGCAGCATGATTTTAGCTATTGATTCTGGAAGCATGCTACAAGTCAATATGCCAGAGTTGTTCTTCCAGCTACCCATTAATTTACCACATGAACTTTGCTGGTTGTCAGGTTACACTGCTTTGTATTTGCTAGTAGAAAACAAACATGAAATGACCTTTTAGACACAGACATTCTGTGAGTGGCTGCAAAGTATAGTGGAAGTCATTTCCAAAGTAAAGTGCTGGATAATATTTTTGCAGTGTTTGACAGTGGGATAGAACAAAGAACTACTTCTTAAAGGGAACCAAGTATACGAAATTAGGAATGAGACCATAGAGGAGGTGACTGCTCAGTGTGCAATCTGGACAACACTGATTACAAGAGGGGGAGATGTCTCATGAAAAATACGGAAGAGAAGGAAGGACAATCAAGACCTGAAAGATAAAGCCATTATTCTAGTCCATGTGTGCAACTTTCAGATTCTTCTTCCCACTGAATTTGTGCCTTTCCTTTACTCATCAGTGTGTGTTGCAGCTTACCTTCACCCCTGCAAGATGTCTTGCTACGACCTGTGCTCCACCTCTGCCTGCGGCGTCTACCGCCCCCAGCCCCTCGCTGACAGCTGCAACGAGCCCTGCGTCCGCCAGTGCCCCGACTCCACGACTGTGATCCAGCCGCCCCCCGTCGTCGTCACCTTCCCTGGCCCCATCCTCAGCTCCTTCCCCCAGGATTCGGTTGTGGGATCCTCTGGAGCACCCGTCCTTGGGGGCTATGGGGGTTCCCTGGGCTATGGGGGCTATGGCTCCCTGGGCTATGGGGGTCTGTATGGCTATGGGGGCTATGGCTCCCTGGGCTATGGGGGTCTGTATGGCTATGGGGGCTCCTCCCTGGGCTGTGGGGGTCTGTATGGCTATGGGGGCTCCCTGGGTTACAGGGGCCTGTATGGCTATGGTAGACCCTATGGTTCTGGCTCTTGCAGCCCTTACTCCTCCTGGTACAGCAGGTACAGCCGTGGCAGCTGTGGGCCCTGCTAAACACAACAGGAAAATCCACTGAATAATGTACAAGTGAAAAACAAAAGGCAGATTCACCAGTGAGCAGATGAGTGACAGCTTTGTGAAAGCACTCACAAATCCTGTTCAGTCCAGTGCCTTCTGCATGCTCCGCACCTCTCCTATTTTTCCTTTGAATTCTTTCCTGCTATCTTCATGGGTTCAACTCCTTATCTTCTACTTTATCGTACTTGTGACGGAATGCAGTGAGACATTTAACAGCGTCTTTCAAAATGCATTTGACTCTGACATCTTGGATATACATTCTTGATATTGCAATATATTTTTGTTCTTTTCATTCTCATTAAAATTCTGTTGCATCATTTAAAACAGGTGTGTTGTGGTTTTGTGTTCTCAACCATTCTGAATTTGCCAGCTTTTCTGGATAAAGCTGCCTGTTGTACATATGGCTGTAATAATATTGTGCAAACTCTGCCCACATAGTGGAAGTCTCCATGAGGAGCCCTCACTAGGCCTGTTTCACCACTGAATTGCAACAACATGGTCACAACATGCTGGCCATAGAAGAACAGCAGCCTTCTCTACACATTACTTTATTAGAATCCTCATTCATGAGTTTGAGCGATAATTCTTTGAACTACAAGTGACTGTTCACACTCTGAAAGTTAAGCTCTTCCTTATTCCACTGCAGACTTCTTATCCAATGTCATACAAATAATTTCCCCACCACAGCTCTTAATGGAGGATTGGCAACAGTATTAAATGAATTTCAGATTCTGTGTTTCTCTAGCACAGACCAGCCTAGATCTAGGCTATTAAATTGTCTCACTCTCTAAAATTCTGGCTGTGTGCAGATGACACTTCTTCAAAACCACAATAAAAACCATGTGCATAATTTCACAGCATACCTGATTGAGTTCCTGGGTTTGGGACTTCTTTGGTTCTGTTTAAGTTATGCATATATTAAATATAAATAGAATTTGTGTAAATATTATATAGGTAGCCTAAAACCAAACAAAAATACAGCACCATACATGGCATATCTTTTTAGGTTATCAGTAAAGCATGTAACCATCTCCTCATTCAAGCAGATGCTTATCTTGCAAGATAGTTTTCTTTATGTGGTTCAGCTGCCAAAAGATCTTAGGCTACATATTTTACTACAGTAAGAAGCATGGCTAAGCATAATGTAACAGTGTTCAGAGAACACCTGACCAGAAACTGAAGGCAGAATGTGAAGAAAGAAAGGCAAGAGCTGCTGTACATGCCCAGATCCACTCTCTGTAACAGGACAGTGCATACAGCATACTTCTCAGCACTCATTACCTAAAAGTCAGCTATAAATCTGCCTTTTATTTGGTTTTATTTAGCTGTCTCTAATAATTTGAATAGCTCTTCCAGCAAGACCCACAGCTTCCACAGTGGATTCCGGTATCAAAACAACAGCCAGAAGGGATGTTCTACTTGCTGCCAGGACCTGAAAATCTATAAGAAAGTCTGTTGTGGTAAAGACTACCATAATAAAAGCTCCAGTAACAAAAGAAGCCCTTAAGTATGGGTGCTAACAGAGATCCCGCTACGCTGTCCTGAAGGAACTAAGCATCTGGAATGGCAAGGTGATGGCAATGGATGGTGGCTGAGCCACTGCCCTCGGGCCAGGGCAGTCAGCTCCTTGCAGCTATTGGTGCTGGTGCACATGGTGACACAAATTGCCCAGCTGGAAACATGACTAAGTCTAAGCGTAACATAGCACAAATTCCCCTGGAACAGGAAGAAAAGCTTAGATCTCATGGAAATGGGAAAGGCACAGCAGTCTGGATCCTCTGCAACACTAATTTAGTTTCAGATCCAACCTACCTAATTGTAGCTACCCCACCAAGATCTACTTGCTGCTGTTGATGTAATTCCTCAAATTTGTATAAGCCCTGTAAGAAAAATGATTTTTAAGTGGTAGTTAATCATTACTTAGTGGAAACACAGGAATATGGAAGGTCACATGTTTCCTCAGACAAATGGTTGCTCTTATCCTATACCTTGTCTCTGATAAAAGTCAGTTCCACATCATCTGAAATTTACTGCAAAAATCCTGATGCTGTGCGTTATTGAATTAACTGTCCAAAGGCTTACCTGGTTCCTAACACCCCGAAGGCTCTTTTTACTGTGAGTAAGGAAGCTTTGCTTACATCTCTTTCAAGCTTTGGCTTTCTTCCATACAAACTAATTTGAAACAGCACCTGGAGGACCAAGTAATTAACTATGAAGAGGACATATCCTTTGTTAAACATGGCTGTGACTGAGGCCTTTGTGGTGCAGGAGTACAGAGCAGTTTGTAGGACCACAGTCTGGTGGTTTGGTATTTGTTTAGCAGATTATAACTCTGGGATTTGAACTAGTGGAGAGCTGACAGCTCCTGTACAATCTATTGTGGAAAATACCAGCGTAGCCCCTAAAACCTGCATATAACATTGCCTCCTCATAAATGAAAAAAGAGGAATAATTTAAATTTACAGAACAGTTTGATATCTAGAAAATAGCTGTCTCTGGGAAGAAGGCAGCAAGAGAAGTAAATACAAGGCAGTTTTCAGGAGGGACTTTTTATATATTTCCTCAAACTGCCTGAAGAACCTGAGACTCCCATTAACACCGGCCCACATTTATCACACATGGTTCACCTCAAAATGATGAAACAGTTTTGCTCAACATTTATGTTTATTAGTTGATTCAAATTCTCACGCTGCATGAAATGCAAATCACAAAACAAGTATTTCTTTCATCTTAGCACTTAATTGGCAAGATTCATTCCTGGTAACATTCCATTAAATACATTAGAATGACAGGAGGAGTTATGCTGGCTTCATTTATTTACTTCTTCTTTTATTGGTTGACATAATGATGGTGGCTCAAATGTTAATCATAATTGCCATCTGCTTTCATATGCAGGTTTTCTTTCCATCCTTCCTTACCCATGCTAGATAAAGTATAATTGATACCAAACATGGTGTCTTTCTTGTGAAATCAGCAAGCCTTATATGAAGTTGGAATAAAGATTTGGACAGGACCATCCTGCACTTTTCAGGGGAAAAATCAAAAGATACACTGCAAAGTACTATTTATAGTCATCCAGACCCATGCCTTGTCTCCCAGACTACCCAGCTGTACTGTTTCTTCACATTTTAGAGGTAAATTCATGGGCCACAACAAAGGTAAACAGTTTCTTAGCCAGATTACAGGCAACTTGTTAAATAATTTTTTTTAGGAAGCTGAGCATGTGTTTAAAACACAGAAGAAAGGTAGACCACTCAGAGTTAGACTAGGAGAGTCCTAGGAAAAGCTTTCAAACCTTAAGGACAGAGGCAGATGCTACAGATGCTGAAGGGGATGTGAATTAATACAACATTAGCACTGAAGGAGCTCATAGACAAACTTAAACAAATAATTGAAAACCTAAATTATAAAATAAAATCAACTGAAACCCTAAGGTTAGAAATCATGAGCTGGTAGAGGGAACAGGAGGAGTGCTCTTGACCAGTATAATTTATTAAATGTATTTCAAAATGCTGGGCTGCTTGAATCCAGCCACATACTTATATTACAATAATGACGCACCACTTCATGCGTAAACTACTAGGTAGGGTTTGGGAAGTGCTTAAAAAATACACACGCAAAATATTTGAACAACCTTTGTGGGTATTATTGCTCTTGTGATCCCCTAGGGCTATGTCAAAGTCTGGAAAAAAGAACCTCATAATTTAAGTATAACTTCTGGTAGAAATGTTGCAGTGTTTATCTTTTAACAAACAACTGATCCATAGGCAAATGAGGATTTCTGAGGCTGGACCAGGGACTGTTTATTACACAGAATTTCAGAATATGGGAATATGGGTGGGACACATCTCATCAAATCTGCCCTGTTAAAAAGCTGGGTGTTTCAGTTGAGCTTGTTGTCTGTCTCCATAATCAATGAAAGCAAAATTGTTGTTTTGAGGATGATACCAATTCTGGTAAGGTAAGCGTCTGAGATGGGATGAATTGTCTTGCAGAAATTCTTGTCCCTCCTCACTAAGTATTGGGGAAGCCTGAGTAATTTCAAATGACAAGTCACTTGAAATCTTGGCAGTCAAAATTGGGCTCTGCAACCATATGCACCGTGCAGGTGATGTGCTGCTAGTGAGGAAAGAAAGAAGAGAAAAAAAAAAATCCATTGTTGCAATAACTATTTCTCAGATAATTCCATTGCTTTTCCTGCCACTTACCCACTAAGTCTGGAAAGAAAGCACTCAAAAATTGTTTCTGTGACATCCTCCAGTGAAATTTTGGCTCAATTCCTTTGTAAGGTGAAGGAGTAGATCTGAGGGCAAACTACACTCCATCATATGAACAAAAAGAAAGAGAAGATTATAGACTGAATGAATGCAGTGGTGGACAGAAATATATCATTTCACAAAGAAACTGAGAAATTTGCACCTGCTTCACCACTGTCTTGTGTTATGTCCTCCTTTGGAGCTGTCTAATGTCAATACAGAGTACCTAGTGACTATTAATCTCTGCAATTGCAGCCATTCTACATTGCTGAACCTGTGAGAGAATCTCTGAGTGCCTTTGCAGATTCCAGGTGAAAAATAAGGAAAAAAATACTGACGTCCCTTCAGAGAAAACTTTCACCTTTGGTTTAAACACCGTTTCAGGTACTAATATAGTATGTTTCCTGCTGGTCTTGCCAAGCAGCAAGGAAAATTCAGAATTTCTAAATCAAAGACCATCAGACAATGTCCATGATTAACGTAGGTACAGGACCTCTCTCATGTTTTGTGGCTGTGGGTGAGAAAAGGATCAGAAGGTGTCTTCCACCTCACTGAACATTTCATTGCAAAATATGCGAGTAGATTAGATTACAGCTTAGATCTAAAGCACTTAAACACAAACATGTATATGACAGCAGGTTATAGCTCTGATGAAAATCATTATGTGAAGTTAATGAAGGAAGCGCTAAATAAATAGAACCAGTCTAATGCGTCCTGCAGTGTCAGTGAGCAGGGTGGAATGATACCAGTGATGAAGCTGGTCAATTAGGCTTCAAGATGAAAGAGCACTGGGAGCTGGAATGTGCATATCATGCTGTTCAGAGATTTAGGGTGATTTTGCAAACAGCAAATGAAAACAGTTTCATCACTTTGGGAAGTCATGTGTGCTTCAAATTTGGGCTGGTTGGTGATTATGACTTCATGAGTACAGTGTGCCTCAGACCCCCCAGGCAGTCTGAAGCACTGTATAAAGGTA